TTCTCGTGGGCTCCAGCTCTGTTTCGTCCCAGCATGGTTGGAAGTGGAAATGGGCCAGGTTCCGAAGGGCCAAAGGCAGATCCCAAGCAGCCAGCAAGTATCTATGGAAAAGATCTTCAGGGAGTCAGCTTCAGGGACTGCTCAGTTTATTGAAGCCCCAAGGCTTCATCTCGGTCAGGTTGTAGGGAGGATGAGCAAAACAGGGAATGCACCTAATTTACATATACAGACCCAACTGGGGACAGATACACTCATTCAAATACAAGAGGGGGAAGGGCTTTTGTGTTGAGGTCTACAGGGTTTGCAGGGAGCCTTTGTACAAGGTTAGGCACCTGGGCTATCCAAATAAGGTAGAAAGGGAGTCCTGCTGTGAAGGGAGTCCTCCATAGTATGCTGAGTTCAGAGGACTCGGCAGACATGGTGAACTGCAACCTTAAATGCAGGCTATTCCAACATTCTTCCATAGCATTTTTGTAATTCTATCTCCATATGTAGATGCTTATTTCTTGAAAACAGTGTTATTCAAAGTAGTCCATTCTCTGACACCAAGTTTTGACTGCTGGTCCAAAATACACTCTTAGAATGGCAGCTCTCTAGGGAATGAGTTAGTAAGTTTTAAGTTATACACACTTTCAGCTTTACATATTATCAAAACGCTTCTAATCCACTTCCCTCTAGAAGTCTATGAAAGTCCCATTGCCCCAGAGTCTCACCAATCCATGGCATTTTAGACTTCAAGAAAATTGTGACACGCCTTTAATCCCAGCACTTGGGAGGCAGAGGCAGGTGGATCTCTGTGAGTTTGAGGCCAGCCTGGGCTACAAGAGCGAGTTCCAGGACAGGCTCCAAAGCTGAGAAACACAGAGAAACCCTGTCTTGAAAAACAAGAAAAAAATTGTAAAAATATTGTCCTATTTCTGCTGTGGGATATTTGTACACTGTGTGAAAATGTATTGTTAAAAAGATGAACAGACAAGAGCAAGAAGAGTTTAGGCGGGACTTCAGAGAACAGTGAGGATACGAGAAGAAGAAGGGCTGAGTTTTCAGCCAGATGGAGAGAAACAGTAAAAGGGAAACATCAGTAGCCATCTTGAGGGACGCTTTCCTCTCCCCTCCTCCAAAGATATTTGCTGACCAGCAGTTTTAGAAGTGACCAGAAGTTGAACTTACAAGGCTGGGACAATAAATCTATGTGTCCTGGACTTGGCAAAATCAAGATATGGGTAGTAATGGGCTCAACTGACCGGAAGTTGACATCAGGGGAGAGTAGGACTGGAACAATAAATCTGAATGTATATATCCTGGTTTCAACAAAAGCAGGACATAGGGAGTAAAAATTTATGTCTCTGTAGATACCCTGAAAACTGTTAGCCATCAGTAACCTCATGCTTATTGTTCAGTCAGCAACTTCAAAGAACTGCCTCACCCCTAGCCCCCTTATCCAGTCCCAAGCTGCATGTAAACCTTTCCTATATAAACCCCTTCAAGTGAGTGCTCAGGGCGTTCTCCTCCACCCGCTGTGTCGGAGGTTGGACCAAGCCAGAGCTTGCTTGTTATCAATAATCCCCTTTGTGTTTTGCATTGGATATTGGCTCTGTGGTGGTCTTGCTTGGGGGTCTTGCGATGTGGGCACAACAGCAGGAGATGCAAGATGAAAGAGAGGTAATGCCATGTGACAGAATATAGATTAATATAAATGGGTTAATTTAAGTTATAAGAGCTAGTTAAGACAAGCCTAAGCTGAAGGCCATGCTTTCATAATTAATAAGAAGTCTCCATGTCGTTATTTGGGGCTGGCAGCAGAAAAGAATATATATTTTCTGATAATGGAACAAACATTTGCTTCCCTTTAAAGAATGGTGTTTTCTGTACCTTTTTATAAATTTAATTTTAGCATGGAGGAAGATATTCCTTCCATTGCCTTTTATTAAGAATTTCTATCAGGAAGATCTTTGAACTTTATCCTATTCTATTGAGATAATCATAGCTTTTCTAAATTAATCTGTAAGTGTGTTGAATTGTACTAATAGATTTTTTTAAATGTCAAATCTTTTAACATCATGGTGATGGGCTTGGTTGTTATGCTATCATCAGATATTTGCATCAATGTTCATGAATAAAATTGGCTTGCAATATTCTTTGCCTCTGTCACATTATCTGATTTTGAATTAAGGTTATTCTAACCTCATAAAAGACTTGTAAAATGTTCCCTTTTCAACACATGCTACTGTCCATTGCAATTATTCAGTCCTTGCCTTGGTAGAATTTGCCCATCAAACCAACTGGATCTGTTGTTTCCTTTGTTGCATTTTGGTTCAACTTATTTGATGGTGATTCCTCAATCAATTCAGGTAAATTTTCTGTTTTAAAAGGAAGAAATTTATATTTTCTCAAAAATAATTGTGCATATGAATGTGTATGTAGTGAGTGTGTGTGTGTGTGTGTGTGTGTGTGTGTGTGTGTGTGTGTGTGTGTGTGTAGGGGGGGGTATCTTCCTGCATTGCTCTCCCTTTGTGTATTGAAGCAGGGTTTCTTATTTCCCTAATTAGGCTAGTCTAGCACTTCACCTTGCCCCTACCCTGCTCACAATCTTTGAGTGCTGGGAATACAAACAGGTACCATGCCCACCCATCATTTACATGGGTACTAGAGATCTGAGCTCTGGCCCTCATGCTATGTGGCAAACTCTTTTCCTTCATGCTCTTATTTGGCCCTCAACATTTCTAATGCACTAGACTATGAGTTTTAAGACTTTACTTTGTCCATAGTGGTATTCCTGGAACATGGTCATGGTTACTCTGTTCCTTCGGGCTTCTGTTTGGCATTGTTTCTCTGCTTTCTTGGCTTGTGTCCATATATCTCACAGGCTTCTTTAATAAACCATTTTTATCTGTTTTTCTTTATTGTTTCTTTGTTTTCTAGTTCATTCATTCTGGAATCCCAGTTCTTTCTCTCCTTTGGCTTACTTTTCATACATTCCATTTTCTCTGTCCATGTTGGCAAATGAAAATTATATACCATTGTGATTATAATCTGACATTTTAATGTGTGTAAACATTTTAAATAATTACTACAATCAACCTATTTGACTTATCTGTAACCTTACATATTTATAATATTTGTTTGTGGTAAGAACTTCTTATGTCTACTCTAAGCATATTTCCGGTATATAATTCTGAGTTGATACCTACTGGCACCTTAGTGTCTACTAGATATACAAAAAGAATTCATCCTACTTAACTGAATTTAGTTCTCTTCAAACAATATCTCCCCATTTTCTCAACTCTCTGGCCTTTAGCAAGCACCTGCCTCTGTGAATTTGACCTTTTTAAGAAGATATCCTACAATTTACTGAGGTCATTTACTGTTCGTGTTTCTGGCCCTGGTTTGTTTCACTTAGAATAATGTCTTCTAGCCACATCTGTATGCAAATAACAGGAAAAAAACAGCCCTCAGCCCCTACACACATGTTCAACATTTTCTTTGTCTTTTTACCCAGATATGGCATATCTAATCATAGTAATTCGATTTTTAATATTTTGGAGAATTTGTGTACTATTTTCCATGTTGATTGTACCATTTTACCTTCTCTCTAACAATGTACAATGGTTCCTTTTTCTCACTACATTTGTCAATATCTGTTGTCTTTTGGGTAACAACGATTTTAATAGTTGTGACTTGATATTTCATTTTGTTTTTATTCCATTTCCCTAGTGATTAGTGATAGAAAGCATTTTACATACCTATTTTGTTTATTTTCTCCAAGAAATATCTGGGAGGATTTTTTAAAAACATTATTTTAGTGAAGTGATTTATTTTCATTCTATTGAGTTGTTTAAGTTCTTTATAGATTTTGGATATTAACTCCCCATCAGATACATGATTCATAACATTTTTACATTCTGTAGGTTATGTCACTTTTTGAATGTTTGTTTCTTTGCTGTTTATAGCTTTTAAATTTAATACCATTTCATTTATATTGTCTGCTTTTGCTTTGGGTCATTTAAAAAAAACACCTTTAATCCCATCACTTGGGAGGCCTAAGCAGACAGATTTCTGTGAGTTCAAGACCAACCTAGTCTACAGAGCTAGTTCCAGGACAGCTACACAGAGAAACCCTGTCTCAAAAACAACAACAAACAAAAAAACAAATCATTGCTCAAACTAATATCAAGAAATTTTATCACATTTTTTTTCCTTAGAGTAATTTTACAGTTTCAATTCTCACATTTTTAGTCTTCAAGTCATTGTAGTTGCTAAAACAAAAATTTGGTTGATAGGGGCATTTATTTACTCTTCTGTGTGTGAATATCTAATTGTCCAACAGTTTGTTGATGATGTTATCTATGCCAAAATATAAAACATGATCCTAAAATCCATATTGACTATAAAAGATCCCAAATAGTCTAAGCATTTTTGAACAAACCAAATAAAGATAAAGGAATCACATGACTGACTTCGAAATACATTTCACGGCTATCAAACAGCCATGTGTGTCTTGTACGCTTGTCAAGGATCCGTTGCCCATGAATTTATTTCTGGGCTCTTTATTCTGCTTCATTGGTCAATATACCTCTTTGTATGCCAATATAACCTTGTTTTGATTTGCAATTTGATTGGAAATTTGGTAATATGATTCCAGCAGCTTTGTTTTGTTTGTTCAAGAATGCTTTTGTAATTCAGGACCTTTAATGGTCCAATGTGAATTTTGGAATCATTTTTTTTTTTATATTTCAACAAAATATGTCATTTGACATGTGACAAAGATGATGTTGAATCTATAGATTGTTTTAGGTAGTTAGGACTTCTTGATAATATTAAAACTTCAATTCAGTGCACACAAGCTATTTTCTACTTATTTGCTTTTCTTTGATTTCCTTATTAATTTTGTATATAATCTAATGTCCAAATTTTTCATCTGTTTAGTTAATTTATTTCTAAGTATTTAAACTTTTAATGCTGTTCTAAATGACATGTTTTTGTTGCTGTTTCCTATACAGATCAGAACCCAAACCCCGAGAATGGTTCTTCTCACAATGGGTGGGTCCTCCTACCACAATAAACACAATAAATATAATTCCCTCAGACATGCCCATAGGCCAATTGGATATTTAAATATCCCTCATAAATACTGTCTTCCCCAGATATTCTGCTGTGGATATCACTCTATATAAATAAGACACTGATGGCCAGTGACCAGGCAGGAAGTATAGGCGGGACAAAGAGAGAGGAGAATTGGGGAAACAGGAAGAAGGAGGGAGAGACACTGCAGCCACCACCAGGACAAGCAGCATGTAAAGACGCTAGTAAGTCACCAGCCATGTGGCAAGGTATAGATTTATAGAAATGGGTTAATTTAAGATATAAGAACAGTTAGCAAGAAGCCTGCCACGGCCATACAGTTTATAAATAATATAACTGTCTGAGTGATTATTTTATACATGGATTGTGGCACTGCGGGGATTGGTGGAACCTGGAGAGAAGCCCTCCAGCAACAATATTCTACACTGTTTCAAGTTGACTATTAAAACTAGCCATGACACGTAGTTTTCTTTGACTTATTTTTAGATATTTATTGTTAACATCTGAAAATACTACTATAAGATGATTCTTTTTTTAATCCTAAAATTTGACTAATTGAGTTATTGGTTTTTAGAGTTTGGGGTTTTATCTTTAGGGTTTTCTACATGTCAGTTCATGTCATCTGCAAACAGACTGCTTTGTTTCTGATTTCCTAATTGGATGCTCTTTATTTCTTTTTCTTTCCTAGTTTTCTAGATGAGACTTCAAGGACTGTGTTGAACTGAATGGTGAGAGTACACATTTCTTCTTCATGATTATAAAGAAAAGCATGTTTTCATTCTTGAGTATATTGGCTGTGGGCTTGCCATATATATTGCAATATATATCCTTCACTGTGTTGAGGAACATTCTTTTCCTTACTGGAGACTTTGTTATAAAAGGACTTTGAACTTTCCAAAATATTTCAGTGCATCTATGGATATTTGCTGAAGATTAGGTGTACCCCTCAGAATTAATGTGTTGGTATCTTAATCCAAAAAGCCATGCTACCAGTATTAAGATGTAGGGCCTTTGGGAAAGAAATTAGAATTAGAAGAAGTCATGAAAATGGGGCTCTAATCATGGTATTAGTAGCTTTATAGGAAGAAGGATTTAAATGGGTCAGCTTGCTCTAGCTCACTATGCAGAATCCTCTGCAGTATTGTTATACAGCTGGAAGGTGACACAATTCTCCTGGACTTCCCAACCTCTGACAAAGCGTAAGCTAAATAAACATGCATTCTTTATTCCCAGTTTATGGTACTCGGTGAAAATGGAATTAAGTCGTGTATTACATTACTGATTTATGTATGTTGAACTATTCTTGAATCCCATGGATAAATGTGTGATCGAGTGTGTGATCCTTTTAAAGTGCTGTTGAATTTGGTTCTCTAGTATTTTGACAGACTGTTATACCCTCTTTCAGTCAATGCTATTGGCCCATGGTGCTTTTCTTTCTGAGTGTCTGTCTGTGTCTATCAATGATATCAGAATAATTCTGAGTTCATAAAGGGAGTTTGAGCCTGGTGGTGCACGCCTTTAATCCTAGCACTCTGGAGGCAGAGGCAGGAGAATCTCTGTGAGTTTGAAACCAGCCTGGTCTACAGAGTGAGTTCCAAAATAGCTAAGACTGTTTCACAGAGAAACCCTGTCTTTAAAAACAAAGCAAAACAAACAAACAAACAAAAAACCCAAACAAACAAACAAACAAACAAACAAAAAAAGGAGTTTGAAAGTGACACCTCCTATTTATTCTTTTTCAAGATTTGAAGAGGATTAGCATTAATTGTTTAAATGTCTGGTAGAGGCAGAGTTCAGCAATTTGATCTTGTGCTTTTTGTTTTTGTTCTTTTGGTGGTGGTGGTGGTATCTTTTACTATTGGTTTCATTATTATTCTGTTTATATTTTCTATTACTTTTGATTCTGTCTTGATATATGATGTATTCTAGGAATTTGTCCATTTCATTTGTGCTACCTAATGCCTTGGTTTATCTTTTTTTTTTGTAGTAATTGTTTATACACTGTTTTTTTATTAATTAGCTGCAACTTCTCACCTTTTATTTATAATTTTATTAATCACAAACTTATTGATATGCTTCCTAGTCTATCTAAATGTTTACTATCATCTTTTCTAATATTGACTGGTATTTTCACTGATAATTTTTGATTTATCTCTTTCTACCTCATGTATTTTTTCTCATCAGTTCCATCTGCTAACTTTCTGCCTTCTTTGTGTTTCTTACCCCGATTTCCTGGAATACTGTGATAGACTGTTTACTGACGTCTTTTGTTTTAATATAGGCATTTACCATAGTAAATTCTTAGAAGTGGTTTTGATGTATCTCATGAGTTTTAATATGCTGTGCTTATGTTTGTATTTACTTCATTAGTTTTTAATTTCCCCTTTGATCTCTTATTTGTTGCACAGGCAATACAGGAGCTGACTGCTTAACTTCTACTTTTTAAAAAAAATTTCCAAATTGCCCCCTCTCTGTTTTTATTTCTGATTTTATGCCAACATGGTTGGAGAAGACAGGGGAGGGGCTTGAGAAACATCTTAGTGGTTAAAGCACTGTCTGCTCTTCCAGAAGACTCAAGTCCAGTTCGGAGCATTTGATCATGTCCTTCATAAATCAAATGTGACTCCTTAGCACTTCCGCGGCTGTTTCTTCTTGTTCTTCTTCTTATATTTGCTTATATAGTTTTAAATGAGCCATCTTTGAGCCTTATGTTTTTTTTCTTTTCTTTCTCATTGACTGAGTGAGTATGATGTTAAAGTTCTCTATGGAATTTTTCATGTCAGTAATTGTGGTTTTTAAGCCCCTGAATTTGTGCTTGGTTCTAGTCTGAGGTTTTTTTTGTTTTTTATCTCTTTGTTGAATTTCTCATTTTGTTCATGTATTGCTTACTTCATTTTGTGTAGTTGTTCTGTCCTACCTTTTTTAGATGGACATTTAAAATCTTTTATCTGGCTAATTATTGATCATTCCTTTTTATAAGGTAAGATATTAGAATTTTATTTTGTTCTTCTATTGTTTTGTGAAGACTTGATTCTTCATGTGTCTTGTAACTTTGCATTAGTGTCTGCCCTTTGGAAGAAAGGATGGGCTTTTGTCTGAATAGGTCTACACTTGTGGATTGGCTCTGCTTTGGAAAGGTCTACATCAGATAGTCCTCTCAGATATCCCTAGTTACCCGAGGTATCCAAATTTATTTTTAAATTGTATTTTCAGATCACCCTGTGTCAAACAGATCTCCATTTTTTTTTAGGATAAGTTGATGTTTTATTTGACTCATGTATTGCTATATTCTCATGATTATTCATGTGCAGGCACTGTTCTGATGTGGTGATATTTTATTCATGATGAAATGTGATATTTTATTTGTATGTTAATAAATAAAGTTGCCTGGAGATTAGAGGTCAAATAGTCACTAAGCAGAAGTCAGGTGGTGGTAGCACATGCCCTTAATCCAATCACATGGAAGGCAGAGTCTCTGTGTGGTCAAGGACACAGCCAAGCATGGTGACATGAGTCTTTAATCCCAGTACCAACCATAGAGACCTGGAGGTCTGTATAGACAGGCAGTGACAAGGAAATCATGTGGCTGGGCTTAGAGCCAGTGAGAAGGCAGAACAGGAAAGCAATAAAAACACAAGTCACACAGGAAAAAGTTCTCTCTGGGGACATTACTGATGGTGGTAAGCTAAAGCTAGTCGTGGCTATTGCTCTGATCTCTTTGGCTCTTTCCTCTGTATTTGGCTCTGTGTTTCTTATTTACTAAGACTGTTTAGAAGTTTGTCTACATTCTGATGTTTGTAAAACTAAAGATGTAGGATCCTCTCCTAGTCTTGCTGAACTCCCTTAGGTAGAGAAAGCCTTTCACGAGCAATTCTACTCAATGGTCTGGGCAGGACAGCTGGTGGAATCTTCAGACATGGCTGCTGCTAGCATCCTAGACTATGCTGTCTCTTGCTGGTTTCAGGACACAATCAAGTCCTTAAAAATAACTCTGGAGCTTGGATGGGCCCTGGTGCTTGAGTTCAGCCTGGTACATACAGAACCTGGATTATAGAGGTGGCAGCTTCATACCCAGTTACACTGAGATGCGCCTGCAGCCTGGAGCCAGGAGGCAGGCCTAGAATCAGAGGCTGTTTGTCTGGCCTGGCACTGCTGCAGCCTGGATCTTAGAACCATTAAGAAAGCCTCAACCCTGGGAACATGGAATATATTATTTGCTTTCTTTTCTAGGTTATATTAGTTTGTCTAAGCAGCTGCAGTGAATGGTTTCACTTTAATTACTATATTTTTATTTCTATTTGTATAATTTTGTTTTAGACATTTTATTTGGTCCCCTTTCAAGTAAAGTTGTTCTCTATGTCATGATGCGATTAAGTCCTGACAAACTGAAACTTGTCAAATGTGTATTTAGCACATATAACCTACAGAACATGGTGATCAACACTATGTACTACAGGGTATAAATCCCTTACCCTCATGAGTAAATGGCTGCTTGAGACCCTTGGCTATTGATACAAGACAGTGGCATACTGCAGAGTACTAGGCCAAGAAAAGTTCAAATATTTATAATTTCCTCTTGTTATATTTTTTTCAGCATTATTAAAAAGATCTATAAGACTCTTTAATTATCTGAAACTCTCAGGGTTTTAATCAAATTCGTTATTGTAGGTGTTCATCCTATGGATCCCTGCTTTTTCTATATGTGCTTTGCAATTTTGGGTTATAAGAAAATGTTTAGGGATGATTTATCTAAGAAAATCTCTAGTGTTTGGATTTAGTATACACACTTCAATGAATTTCTATGCTTTTCTCTCCCAAATCTCCAAAAGACACTTATTGGTGGCATAAAAAAAACTATAGTGATCATTATTTATGTGTTTCTGTGCCAATTAGAGTATATAAACCGCAGAAATTCTGGTGACATTGAGCCCCCATAACAATGAAACAAACTCAAATCTTCTAAAGTATGGGGTACTTCTCCTCCACACACGTCTCTTTGTCTTCTCCTTAACATCTTTCTCTGTGAGTGGATGGTTTTTAAAGCCTTTCTTTTCTTTAATAATGGAAACATTTGAAGCTCGATGTCTGGCCTCTCTCTGGTGGATATGAAAATACAGACTCAACAGTACAGAGACAGGCTCCCTCCTTTTGTGATCAAAGCTGAGCATTCAGTCACACTGTTGTCTGTAGTTTCCTATCTGCTTCTTACTCTGGGGCTGAGCTTTTTCAGTTAGAGTCACGATGGGAGCTCTTCAGGTTACCTAATCTGTCATATTACCCTAAAAATCACTCATGCACTTCTTTGTCAGCATCAAGTGAGAACCCCAATATCCGAGGACTTCGAACACTAAGGAAAATGTACTGTGACTCCTGAAACAAAGTGCAGGTAATGATTATTTATTATGTAAATAACCTTCTTTTCATCCAAATTAACTTGCTTTTCTTTGTTTACTCTTGAGTTAAGAACAAACTTCATTTTACCCAGAGGAACCTAAGGACTTTTGCAGGTGTGAAGAGCTAGCCTTGGATGAGGCGCTCCTTCGGGATCCAGCCTCTCTACTCTGAGAGTGGGGAAGGAGCCAGGTGGGCTGAAGGAAGAGGGAACAGATACGGAAAGCCTTGGAGAACTCAGAATCTCGGAGGGAGGAGTGGAAGTCTGCCTTGTTGAGGAAGAGTAAGGCTGCTGCTTCTGCAACAAGCTCATGGGTCCACCGCGTGTTCTTAGAAACCAGCTCTACGTAGACTCTGTGCGTTCCTGGCCACCAGTGTTGACAGGGAAAAGAAAAAGAGAAGCCTACGCATTTAAACACCATAGATGAGCATCAAACACAGGAAGGAAAAGCACAAGGCACACAGTTTGGTTTATTTTTGTTTGTTTAGTGACTTCATTTAAATTTCAATTCTTATCTCACTCACCGTCCATGAGCAGAGGGACAAACAGGATTTTAGCTGCTCCCAAGAAAGTCTTGGCTGAGCTCTTCAGGATTATTACAGTACATCCCTCCCTGGATGCATTCCCTGGAACCTTTGTTTGTTTTTCTGTTTTGTTTTTCATTTTATTTGTTTTTGTTTTGTTTGCTTATCTTATTATCATAATCCAAATCGCTATGACTAATGAATTGAGTTCTTAAATCCCAGTTCTTAACCTTGCCTTTGTGTCAAATTCATTTGTGAGACTTCAAAAAATAAATTAAAAAACCAACCAGAGAGACAGACAAACACCACAACGTGTCCAGTCTCAGATATTCTTTATTAAGCAGGACACACACACACACACACACACACACACACACACACACACACACACACACACAAAAGTGACCTGAATGAGCTGATGGAAGAATGGTGTCTGGCCAAAGTTAAAAATAATTGTCTTAAAAATCTAGTTAATATTGCTTACCGATGAGAAAACTTTTAAACTTGAAATATATGTGTTCTAGACTCCATACTCCTGGTTTTGCCATTCAAGACTCCACATCTCATGCCCATGTCACAAGGAATTCACACCCATATTCCTTTCTGGCTTCCTGACTGCTTTGAGTCCCAAACCCCCAAAGGACAGGAGAATGTTGTATGCACTTTTATTATAGGTTCTCTAGCTTATAAAAACAGTGGAAAAAAAAGCTTTACGAAGACAGAGAAAATATTGTCATTTTAGAATGACCAAAACTATGTTTTTGTATTAGCCAATTTCTAACAGGTCACTTTTTTCGTAAGACTCTGTACCCACATTTCTAAGATTTATTCACCATGGTAGTGATTCCAGAATGTTAGTGCATGCCAGCCTTCTCTGAGAGGTTTGTTAAAAACCCAAATCCCTGAGTCCTGGTCCAAATCCAATTGACTATCTCTACACACTATAAAATCACAGTTGATAACATGTTTGGCCTGTGAGGTGAAGCAGCCTTGGGTGAAGCCTGGCCTCCCAACCTCTATGATTCTTCCTGTCAATGGAGAATGTGCAGTCCAAGTGGCCTGAAAGACAGACACATACATCTTGTGCAGAGGTGAAATGAGTAAGGCATGGGATAGATCACTGAGGGAGGCTTGGAAAACAGGCAACTTCCAGAACAAACCCATGAAGATTGAGGTGCATTCCAATTATAACTATGAGGAAAAGGTTGACAGGATTACAAAGCATTTCAACAATGTACTTAAAGGGACATAGTTAAATGTCAAGTGGAAAAAGAATTCTTTTGCTATCCTTTACCTGTTCTAAATACCAACCAACAGAGCTGAATGGATCCAGTCCAATTAACATTGAAAGTTCGCGAGAGAGCAATCATTGGCTAAATCTTCCTACAATTAAACTACAAGCAGACCCCTAAACTATCACGTTTGATGAAGGGATCTGTGAGGGTGCTGGACTGTCCTTTTAGAGTTGGTGGCAGGTCCTGCACACATTCTGAATGGAATTTAACAGGCAGTGGTCCTGTGTGTCAATCTGGGGTAAATGAAAATCAAACATTACTGCTATTTTCCCGACTTTAGAAGCCTCTCTGCATAGACAATACCCAAATATCTTGACTGTGATTTTCAATTTAGCATGTCTCTTTCTGGTCCTAGCGATAGTGGATACTGATTTGTCTATCCCTCTCTCCAGCTGTTACCTAGGCAGTTGTAAATCAGTCAGGTTTTTAAACTTTATTCTGGTCTTGGTCTAATTAGTTAGCGTCATTTGAGTGAGTCGTACGGATAAGTACCAAATTTCCCAAGCTAGCATATAGCAGGGGATGGATGAGTGGTCAAGATGGATGATGAAGATGAGCGTGAAGTTGCTCACAAAGAACCTTTGAGAACTGACTCACAAACAACAACGAGACTTGTTGGCTCTTTGTGCTGCTTAGTTCTTGTCATTGTGACGCAAACTAGAATCATCTGGGACAGAGGGAGCCTCAGCTGAGGAACTGCCTCCATCAGGTCGGGCTGTGTGCATATCTATGGGGCATGTCCATGATTAACGATGGATGTGGGAGGGCCCATCACACTGCAGGCAGTGCTATCCTGAGTAGGTGGTCCTTATAGAAGAAGGCAAACTGAGCAAACCAATAAACTGCCTTCTCCCATTGTTTCTGCCTCAAGCTCCTGCTGTGGCTTGCCTCCATGATGTTCTGTCATGTCTAAGATGAAACAATACCAAATTGCTTTTCAGCAGGGTGTTTTATCACAGCAGTAGAGAAATAAACAAGGACAACCTCTGAAGGGGTCACTTAGAGGGATTCGATGTTAGAAAAAGGTCCTGGCTAACAAAAAGCCACTTTGGGGGGTAGGGTGGGGCTGAAGAGAGGGCTCAATGCATAAAAGAACTGTACTGCTCTTGGAGAGGACCTGAGTTCGATTTCCAGCTCCCACAATCACCTATAACTCCAGCTCTGTGAGGATTTGAGCCCTCCAAGGTCTCCTGCACTCGCGACAGCATGCTCAAATACATGTCATTAAAACGTTTTTTAAAGGTGCCTCTTTATTTTTAATTTTGTCCTCAACACAGGAACAATGGATCACTCCATGAGACTAGGAAGCAGAACACGGGAAAGAATAAAAGAATTGTAGTCTATGTTCTATGAGTATAGCTTGTGGGATTTGCTCCTCACAGAATCTTTCAGGCAAGGATTTTAAGTGAAAATAATAGTGAAATCGAGTTAGTGACTTGTAAGTAACCTTATGCATTTGTAATTCATCTCTGTATAAAAATATACATCTCAGCTCATTTTATTAATATATATATACATATATATATATTGGACAAGTGGATTGCTGCATTTATAATAATGCTGCAAATATTCTATTCTCTAAGGGACTAATACTTTGTTGAAAGACCGTATTCTGAGCCGGCATCAGCCTCAAATGTGTGCCCACATTGATTTGTCCTGAAGCTGTGACTTAAGCAGCACATTACAGATGGTTGCAGGAGTGGCAGCTCCTTTAGGCCACAAGGATTCTATTAAGTGCCTTCGAAGAGGTCACCTAATCTATTGAAGGGGCCCCCGAACGATGGAAGGCTCTTCCACACACACGCATCTCCTCTACCCTCTACGTCTCAACAACAGGGTCAACGATCTAGGAATATTATTTCAGCTGCCTGGGAAAGGTAGGTAAAAGTTCTGGGCAGAGGGCAGGCAATTATCTCCTTGCTTTGTGTTAGGAAGCATTTTCACCCAGCTGATAAATTACTTCCAGCTGTTGGCACCAATTTTCTCCTCATCATGGCAGGAGCGAGAGACCCTGGTAAATGCTGAGGAGCAGTGTGAGTCGCTGATTAAATCCAAGATGCAGCTGGAGGCCAGAGGCAAGGCGCTGTCTGGGCGGGAGGAGGAAGAAGAGGAGATAAATTCTGAGCTGACTGCCAGGGGGCGGAAACTGGAAGATGAATGTTCTGAGTTGAAAAAGGAAATCAATGACCTGGAAACAATCTTGGCGAAGTCAGAGGAGAAGTGTGCAGCCGAGCACGAGGTACTTTTTCTGTGGTGTTAGGGAAGTGTAGCTGCCTGAATTCTTCTCTCAAACCAGGCGTGGCTATCAGAAGGACTGTGTTAAGTTAATTAATACGGTGGCCTGCAATTTTACAGTGACAGGAGCCAGGACCCGAATAAAGTAAAGGGCCTGGTGAGCTGTATCGTCCCGTCCCTAGTCCCGAGTTTCCATTTGAATGTCTGGAACCCCATTTAATCTGCCAAATGAGCTAATACTGCATCTGAAACCCAGCACAGCAAAACAGTTTCACTGCACCTGTCAACATCCATTTTGGACCAAGAATGAACATAATGCCCTTGCTAAAAGGTGATCTGAGATGTGTCTGAACCTGCAGCTTAAATAATGACTCTAGGTTTAGTCTACCTTACTTAATTCCAGGTGAGACAGTGGTTCTGAACCTTCCTAATACTGCGGCCCTTTAATACAGTTCCTCAGGTTGTGGTGACCCCCAAACCTAAAATTATTTCGCTGCTGCTTTATAACTGTAATTTGGATACTGTTAGGAATCATAATGTAAATATCTGATATGCAGGTTATCTGATAGGTGATCCCCAGAGGGGTCATGACCCACAAATTGAGAACCACTGAGTTAAGGATATATATAATTGAGCTGTGGTTTGAATGTGTGCATCTACATGGGGATTGACTTTAGTGAGGAGTCTGCATGAAGCATTTGATAAGCAGTTAATCTCCAAGATGGACATTAATTTGGCAGATGATTAAACAGCAGGGTTTTGTGTGGCTCCCCAGGGGCACAGCCAGCCAGCTGCCACCTTAGAATGTCCATTGGAACCCATCTTTTACTGCCATGCTTTGGGGACACTGAGGCACAGTATGGTCAGCACATTTCCCCCTGGGTACCCAAAGGAAAGTGAAGTTACCTTTAGTGATATGGTTACCATCCTGGGAGTAGTCCACACACTGAGTTTTGTTGACCAAAATAGTCCATCTCCTCACCATAGCAGATAACGGCTCTTTATTTTATGTATAAGAAAACTTATTTTATTATAAGAAATAAAACTTACTTTATGATAACTTATTTTAGTATAAGAAAAACAAATTTAGAGCTTGGAAAAACTATGCCATGAGCTTGGCTAAACAGCTATTGATGACATTAGATGATTCATGAGTATGTTAAGACTATAAAAGAGAGACGCCCTTGGGGTTATGCCCACCTTCCCATTGGTGGGTCTAATGAGGCCACCTTTGTTGTCTTCCTGCAGGTCAGGATCCTGACTGAGGAAGTGCACTCTCTAAATGAGGCGGTCAGCAAACTTCGCAGAGCAGGGCAGGTCATGCAGGAGGCCCAGCCGCAGACCCAGGAGCATCTGCACATAGAGGAGGAGAAACTCGGCATCTTGAGCAAAGCAAGCCTGAAGCAGGGCCAGCAAGTTGATATGTGAGCAGCAACAGGCTGACTGATTGGCAATCTGTCTTCATATGTACACAGCTCACAATATTTTCTTCTTTATTATGGCATAATATGTATACATATTCATGGGTGACAAGTACATTATTGTAATTCAATCCATGTGCATACTATGTCATGTTCAAAAGAAGGTAACAATGTCCAACTCTTTATACCTATGTCAACACAGGTAAGAATTCTTACTCTGTGTTGTGGTGCCTCTGGTTGAACATCTTTCCCTCCTCATGCCTCCCTTGGCCTTTCCCAGGCTGTAGCAACCACTCTTCCATGTCCTTCCATGAGACTGGCCCACTAGTTTCACCAGTACTTGAGAACATGTGCTGTTGGCTTTTCCAGTTCTGGCTTATTTCTATCAACATAATGATATCCAGTTCCATTCATCTGGTTATAACAGGTTTCCTTCTTTTTATAGATAAATACTGTTCCATCCTTTATGTATACTGACCTGTCTTTATCTTCTCATCTACTGTGAATATCTGTATTGGTTACATATTTCAGCAATTGAGAATAGTGCTGCAGTAACATGGGAAGGTAACTTTAAGGAATAATGATTTTGTGTCCTTTGGATATAGATACCCAGTAGTGGAATTGTTTCATTTTATTATATAATATATATATATATATATATATATATATATATATATATCAGAATTTTTGCAGAATATATATATACATAAGTTATGTATAATACATATATATCTTTTTTCTTTTTTTCAGAATGCCAATTCTGACTTCCATCATGACAATATAAATTTACAATCCCGCTAATAGTGTATAATAAAGAGTTTCCTTTTGTCCACATCCTTGCTGGCATTTGTTACTTTTGTCTTTATAATGATATTCACTCTCACTGGGATGAGATGATATCTCATTATCTTTTTGATTTGCATTTTCATGGTGATTAGTAATATGGAGCATTTCATCATATTCTCGTCGGCCATTTGTGTGTCTTTTCAGAAATGTCTATTTAGTTTAATTGTACTTTCACATGCAGGCTCAGCCTTTTTAGGGTGTTTTGTATTCTGGATAAACTGTAGGTTTTGTCTTAATTCTCTTATTTCCCTTGCTAGGCAGGACTTCTCGATTTCATGAAAGCCCATTTGTTAATTTTGACTTTTGTTCCCCGAGTTTGGAGGTCCAATCTAAAACAAAGATCATTTCCTACACCTTGAAATGTTTTGTTTTAGGTTTTGAGAGATTTTGAGTGGATTTTTTTTTTGTATCAGAATGGAAGGGATCAAGTGTCACTTCTGAATGTGTCTAACCAGTTTTTATGGCATTACTTACTAAAGGGATGAGCCTTTCTCTGCTACATGTTCTAAAGTGCCTTTGTCAAAAGTCACTTGACAATGTGAATGTGGGTAATTTCTGGGTTTTCCCTTGTGTTCCATGGGTTTCTGGTGTGTGTATATGCCAACAGTATCTTCTTTGGGTTATTGTAGGTTTGTGTTATGTTCCCATGTGAAGTGTTTTGTAAATTTCTTAGGGATGTGTGCATGTGTATATGAGTATGTGTAGGTGTGTACATGTGTGCTTGCATGTAGTGGTCAGAAACAACCTCAAAGGTTGCTCCTGACGAAGTCCAATGTGACCTTTTTTTTTCCCCCCTGTAATCGAGGTAAGATCTCTCGCTAGCCTGAAATTCATCAGCTAGTCTAGTCTGCCTGTCCAGGAAGTCATGGAAATCTGCTTGTCTCTGCCTCACCAGTGCTGGGGGTGCAAGTGTGTGCCACCACACCTGCCTTTTTTTTTTAACCTGGGTTCTGAGGATTAAACTCAAATCCTCCTGTTTGCACACAAACACTTGAAGCCCTGAGCTACCTCCCAGCACTTTTATCTCACAAATTTCTCAGTGGAGTGATTTGACCTCTTTGTCTAAATTTATACCTAAACGTTTATTTTCTTTTATTTAGCTATTGTAATTAGTATTGTTTTAAGATTTTTCCCCTTGGGATATTAATTTTTTTATATTTTTATAGACATTTGTACATTAATTTTATATCCTGTGATTATTTTAATGAATTAATTTATAGCTTCTACCATCTTACTGATGATATTTAGGTTTTTACTCCATGTAAAATGAAGTAAATTTTCCATTTTAGATTCCTTTTACCTATTTCTCATGTCTAGTTGTTCTTGCTAAGACATCCAGCACCATTCCAAATAAAAGTAATGAAAGTGGAGATCCTTACCTTCCATCTGATCCACAAAGGCACACTGTCTGCTTTCCCTTAGTCAGTATAGCTCTGTGAGTTTCTCACAAAAATGGAAAATGTTGAGCTATGTATCCTTTGATGCCTATTTTTATCAAAAATGGATGCTAGGTCTTACTGATTTTCAAGTTTGGTTTAGTGTTATTTTCATATATTCATAATGATCATACAGTTTTGGACCTTGATTCTGTTCATGTGTGTTATGGTTTTCGTTGATTTGATTATGTTGAATCATCCCTGAATCTCTGGGATGGATCTCACTCAGCTGTAGTGTATAATCCTGATGGGTTACTGAATGCCAGTGTTCCATTGAAATTTTTCCATCTACATTCATAGAGAATATAAATCAGTGGCTTTCTTTCTTTCTTTTTCTTTTTCTTATAGTATCTGTGTGTGGTTTGGTATTCAGGTAATGCTAATCAAAAGGAGTTTCACTGGCTTCTTTTCAATTTCATTTTGGAATTGTTTAAGAATTAGAATTACTCCTTTAAAATGTTTTAAGGAATTCATCAGTAAAGCCATTGTGTAATGGGGTATTTTTTAAAGGCAGAATATCTTAAAATATTATTGGAGCATCATAGCAATTTTCTCTTCTATTTTGTATTTCTGTGGTATTAGTTACAATTCCTCATTCTTTGTCTTTTCTATTTTTTTCTTAGTCCAACCAAATATTTGTCAACTTTTTGGATCATTTCAAAACAGCAAGTTTTTGTTAATATTGATCTCTTACATAATTTTTTGGTACTGATTTTGTGTCTCACTGACTTTTACTGTGCTTTCCTTCTACTATCTTGGGGATTGGTTTATTTTCACTTTATTAAGGTGTTGAGGTACGTGGTTTAGAATGTTTATTTAGTACCTTTCTGTATTGAATATATGCATTTATTGCTATAAATTTCCTTCTTACAAGATGCCTTAATGATGTCCCACAGATAGATCATGTTGTTATTTATAATTATTTCTATGTTTTTAAATTATTTCTATGTTTTTAAATTATTTCTATGTTTTAAATTTCTGTTTCCTAAACAGAAATACCTCTCAGGAAGGACAGAGCATCATAGCTTATTTTAGCTACTGAGACTGAGAGTCTCACCAGATCTACAGAGCCAGCTGCAAGAAACAAAAGGGTAGGTGTGGGAGTGGGGGTGTCTATTCATCATGACTAGGAAGAAAGGTTGTTGTTTGATTTATTTAATTTCAATAACACTTATACTTTCGTATTTCAGTTGTTGGCTTTTGGGTTAGCTTGTACATTTCCTGAATGGGCCTTTATGGCCATCCTTTATTTTTCTGCCTTTATTCTCTATAGAATATTTTCTCATATGTCAAAGCCATATATTTCTCGCTTTCAACATGAAGGAAACAGAGAAACATCCCCATGCTGCCACCCTCAGCAGCCTGGGGAATTCCCTTAAACTTTCAGGGAATCTCAGCTCAGGCCGACACGGAACTTTGGCTTTGCCCCAGAGAGGCTGGTTGATCTATTTGGCACTGCTGGAATGGGAACTGGATTGAAAGGCCACGCTGTCTCCAGCCACATGCTGGCATTTGTTTGTTATTTATATGTAAGTAACAAGTGATGTTCTACTACACCACTGAAAATATACTCCTAAGCTTCTAAATGGCATTGCCTATTCTGCCTCTACACATCCCCCCCACACACATATGCACAAGCACGCACACTCATTCATCCCCCTGCACATATATGCACACAAGCATGCACACTCATTCATCAGCCTGCACATATGCACACAAGCATGCACACTCATTCACCCCCCACCACACACTTATTGTATTACTACACTTGACTGCTATAGAGAGCTGGAGTAGACTTGGCAATTCCTGAAAACAGAAATATGTACTCCAGTTCTGGAGGCTGAGATTCCTAGATCAAGGCATGAGTACGTGTGATTTCTGATGAAAGCCCATGTCCTCTTTCATACATTGCCGTCTTCCTGCTGCATCTTCACACAGTGGAAGGAGTGGGGTCCTACGCATGAGTCTCTTTCTGTTTGACTTGTTCACTAACAAAGGTCTGGCCTTCTAATACCTTAACGTATGCCAACATATGAATTTTGAGAGATACAATCACCGTGATTTATCTGATTTCAGGTTTTTACATATATCTTTCAGAAATTCTCCCAGTCCTATCAATTTGAATTTTATGTTTTTCCTGCCAACACTTTCTAGATTATTTATTTTATTTACTGAAAAGCAAACATATTAATGGACAAGGAAACATTATAACTGTTATTTAGCTTCCTAATAACACTTATAAGAAATGGTAAAACATTAATCTAGAAACAATTAGAATGTTCTAACCAATCTGGTGGGGTATCAGAATATGGCATGTTATGATCCAGATGATACCAAGGTAAAAGAATGGATATCCATGCATATCTTGGAGATTGAAAGGACCAGGGATGCTGGAGGGATTCCAAGTACTCATGGATTATCCTGTGGAGACAGATTTCATAGTGTTATGCCAGGAAGTAGAGCATTTACAAAGAGCATTTTTACTTCTTGTGAAGAAATACCCTTGAATAAATGGGCTTAACCACCCCTGAAATGAGCTTCCAATAAAGAGGAAAGCTGCCGCTCCCTGGAAGTGAGGAGCCTACTGGCGACTTGCTATTGGGTCCCTTTCTAGGACATATCACATAATCCATAATCGGTAAAACTTCCACCCATCACCAATTTTTTTGATTATTTTGTCAACATATTGCGACATGTAATATTTGCCTTAAAATGCTTTTGTAACTGTGCATCATTTACAGAACCTTGTATTTTTCATTTTCCTCATAGAAAGTTGGCGTGAACACCTTTCGTGTATAAATTCTACCTAGTTATTTAGTTAAGCAGTTTTTCTTTCTGTCAGTTGGAAGACGCCCTTGAACAGGAGAGGAAAGCCAGAAGGAAGTGTAGGAGGGAGAAGTGCAAACTGGAGGGCGAGCTAAAGAAGAACCTGGAGGATGTGGAGAGCCTGGAGAGCAGCAGGCAGCAGCTGGCAGAGCAGCTGAAGAAACGAGTCCCAAGGGATTCTGGGAAAATCTTAACACTAGAAGGAGCAGTGCTCTGTTTCATTTAGCATCAGGTTTCTAGGCCAGATATCTGAAGACCCAAGACAGTGAGTGACAAGAAGTTTGGAAAATGGAAATTATTTTTTATTTGATGGACTCCATTATAATCATTGCAAAGACAGAGTAAATAGATAAAGTATATAACAGAAAGTGTCTGCCTAGGTGGCAGGTTAAATGAAAAGAGCAAGGTATAGGAGAGGTGAATTGCAAGAATTTGAGGCCGTTAGTCAAACATGTATTTATCTCTCACTTAGGGTGAGATCAATGCCATAAAATGCAAAGTACATTGACTTTGATATGAAGATTTTGGATACTTTCACCACTTACATACTTGTTTCCCAGCTATAACTTCATTAGTACCGATAAAGCTGATTTTATAATTTAGTTTATAAATATTAAACCTTAAATTTAAAGTAGAACATGATAACACATAAATTTCCCCCCAGCTAATTGGAGTTCTTTCTATCCCAAGGAACCAAGGGGAAGGTGGCTTTCTAAGTTTAGTTCAAGCAGCCAGTGAAATGCATTTTTCTTACCTTGTTCCTTTGTCTCCCTCTAATTAGATTTCTTTTTGACCACTAAGGATTTACAACTCATTTATATTAAACTGAAAAGGGAAATAATTAACTCTAAGCATGAGCTACAGTCAGGTTAAAGCTCATGGCACACTGATAATTGGGGTCTGCAGTAAAATGGAAGACTGTCTAGTGAGCAACTTTAAGTTTGTGGCTTTTTCATTTATGTGGATATTTTGCCATCAAACCTGCTGTTAGTGAGACTTCACTGTGTTATACTAGGAAGCTATTAAACTTGGTATGTGCTTGGAAAAGATAAAATAGCCTAATGGAATAGTGCTAGCCAATCACAAAAGGATAAATACCTCATGATATAAAATATCCAGAATAATAAATTGTAGAAATGAAATCATAACTCCTGGGGGCTAGGAGGAGTTACTGTTCAATGGGTATAAAGTTTCAGATATGGAAGATGATTAAACTCTAGATAGTTGCTGTATAACACCATGTGTATAGTTAATAGTGCTGTACTGTGCACTTGAAGTGTATTCAGAGGGTAGAGTTTATGTTAAATGTCCTTAAAACAATTAAGAATCAAAATTAGCAGAAAGCATCATGATAAATCTTAGGAAATTGGCAGGTTAAGTAATCTTGAACATACCATAAAGGACTCAAAACCTAAAAGGAATATATTGATGAATGTGATGTCACTTTTAAAAAACACAGTTAAAAGTGAGGTCAAGTTAGAAAGAAAAATATCTACAGCAGGTATAAAGATTACATATTAAGAATAATGAAAGTCTATAGTATAATAACAACATGAACAACTCATTAGGCTTAAAGGCAAAGCATACACAGAGGGTTCATTTTGTGTCATAGCCATTCAGAATACAGCAATGAAATGTTAATCTATGTTCTGAAAATCTTATAAATATGCTGATATTATGGGTGACTATATAGGAGTAATGATCTCACATGGCTATTGAAGACCCAAAGATTGGGCTGTTGTGTGATACTTTGTTTGTGTTCTGACAAATAAAGCTTGCCTGGAGATCAGAGGATGGAGCTAGCCACTAGTTAACCACAGAGGCCAGGCAGTGGTAGTACACACCTTTAATACCAGGACTTGAGAGGAAGAATCAAGAAGATCAGGCGTTCAAGGCCACCTTGTGCTACACGAGATTGAACCAGTCTAAAAGAGAAACAGAGCTGGGTGTGACGGCGGTGTACACTTTTAATCCCAGCATTAGGGAGGTGGAGACAGGAATATAAGGCAGGTGGAGATGGGATCTCGGCCCCCATTCAGTCTGAGGATGTGTAGATGTAAGAAGTCTCTAATGGCTGCTGCTCTGCTTCTCTGATCTCTAGGAAAGCTTTATTTGTCAGAACACAAACAAAATATTGTACAACACACATCTATGCATAACCCAGCAATTCCCTGCCCAGAAGCTACTCTGAAGAAACACTTTCATGGACGAAAGGGCACATGTGTATGAGCAACATTACTTGTAAAAGTAAATGTTGGGAAAGCTCTAAGTTTATCAATAGGTAAATGCATAAACTACAGGATGTCTAAACATGGAATAATATGTTTTAGTTCATTGCAAATGAAATAGTCTCTATGGAGGCAACAGAGAAACAACTCTGACATATTCATTGGGTACATTATAGATATGGATATATAAATTTACACAATACTAGGTATAAGTAGAAAGTATAAGTAAGAAAGTAAGTAAGTAAGAAAGTATAAGTATTTTGTAGTTATATCCATAGTCATAAATACACACATTTTAGCACCTGGAAGAAGTCTGGAAGGATTCACACCAAATGCACAAAAGAGGCCTTCTTGGAAGCAAATGAGGATTGGATATAATGGCTAAGGATAAATGTTGATATATAGATGAAATGATGAATTTTCATGGCAATCAATTCATTTGCTATAATTTAAAAAATATTTAAGAAAAGTAGTTTTATTCTGCACTATTTTAATTTTTACCTTTTTTTTTTAATAAACAGGAAGAATTCAGAATGAGTCAGTTAAATTCAAAGGTAGAGAATGAGTCATCCTGGTGGCTGAACTTTGAACAGCAGTTGAAGAGCTTTGGTTGTTGACCTGATACCTGTGTGCACCTGTGCTGAGATCCATAGGTGGTGATTGGTGCTTCACTAACGAATTCTCTGCCAAGATGTCTTTGGCCTAAGCCAACTGTAGACAAAGTGGGAAAATAACATTAATTACTAAAGTAAAGTACCGCACAGATGCATGACCCTAGGGAAAATTACCTTTTAAGCTTAAATTTCTTTCTGAGGGTAATTAAAACCACACAGCTTATTTGTTGAATGTTTTCTGTGAAATAGGAACCAAGATAAAATCCTGGGCATGTATTTTTCACTCATTTATCTTCCTGACAACCTTTGAGCTAACATTATTAAATGCTGCAGTACTCTGGTAAGCATAGAGCATGACCCTCTGTATGCAATCAGTGTTAGCAATTTAATTTTTGTGACTATTATTCTTTATGATTAGAAAGCAATTATCCTGTAAGTTCCATAGCTAGCTGTGATTTCAAAATGTTATTTCATAGCATATAACTATTTATAATAAGCTTTAGGCCATCTGACTACTTCATACTATATTACCATGTGAGAAAGTAATTAAAAATATATGAAGTGAATTTAAAACATGCCTGCACTCACAGTTTTTACATATACCCAGATAGAAAATATTATGTTGGGGCTAAATGAGTATCTCAGCAGTGTTAGAATGGCTGAAAATAATTTAAAACTCTATGCTTATCTTTTGATACAACCTGAGCCAAACGAGAAAATCAATCTCATTGTCTTATGAATATACTTTATTTTCAGACATAATATTAATCCTCAAGTGATTATCCTGTTTACTAGGCATATCTCTGAATCTTTGATTTTATACAAAGCCAAAATATCAAAAATTTCAATTTACATAAAACTCACATTTTTATCTTAATGATTTCAAAAATTTTTTCAAAAAAGGTCATGGTGCAACTCATTCATTTATACAATTAATATATTACTAATTTTTACTTTTAAAGAGGTCCACAAAAATGATTTCTAAAGAAACATTTTGGAAATGGTTGACTCAATGATCATATCGTTTGAGACAATATCTTGGATCCTATGATAGCTAGTTGGAAGGATATCACATTTGCTTAGGGATGAAAGTCATACTTTATTTTTTGGTACCCTCTCAGTCATACCTTATTTACACAACTGGTACACTACTTACATGGTATAATCAAGAGATTAGTTTTCAACCAATACCTATGAATCATAGCAACCAGTATGGTATGATAACCCGTAGGGTATAATAGTGGCACTCATGTCTTGGTGGTAACCAACAGTTCTCTAATTGGACTTAAGGTACACTTAACAGGTGCGAAGTTATACATGGTACTAGAAACCTAGCCAACCACTTGGGGCTCGTGAGGTCATGGATCCTCAAGGAGAGTACATCACCATCATTTTACTGACCTAGCGTGATTCCTAAGTGCCACCTGAGTATTTGTCCTTATGCCTGCAAACAAGTGTCACTCTCATCCCACATCAAAGAAGCTTCTCTTTGCAATGAAAGGAAACATTACAGACAACCACAGCCACTCAAAATGTGAAGAACAAGTGATTGTGAGGTAGCCAGCCCAACTGATACATAACACAATTACAGCTAAGGCCTAGGGAATGTCTTAGTCAGTGTTCTATTGTGGTGAGGAGACACCGTGATCACAGCAACTCTTATAAAAGAAAGCATTTCATTGGAGCTTCTTACAGTGTCAGAAGTTTAATCCATTTTCGTCATGGTAGAAAGGATGGCGGCATGCAGGCAGACATGGTACTGGAAAAGTAGCTGGAAGTCCTACATTCAGATCCATGGGCAACAGGAAGACAGAGACACTGGGACGGGGTTGGACTTCTGAAAGCCCAAAGCCCACACCCCCTGTGACACATTTCTTCCAAGTCCACACCTCCTAATCCCTCTCCCTGATAACAAAGCATTCAAATATATGGGCCTATGGGGGCCGTTCTGATTGAAACCACCACAGGGAACATCATGGAAGAGAGAACAGAAACATTGTAAGAGCCAGAGAACCAGGAAAGTGGATGTGAGATTGTGTTTCCTAGAAATGACGGGGAAACTTCATCCTGCTACCTGCCTGAAAAAGACCTGAAGCGCAGCAGTAGACATGCTAAGATGAGAAGGGGGATCTCAGGTGACCTTGCCTGTAGACAAAGAACTACAGGCAACTACAGGAATGCTGAGAGCAGGAGGAACTCTATTCTTCAAGGAGAAGCCCCCTAAATGGTTATCCAATACCAAATGGCCAGCTGTGACCTCATGTACATTCAAGTAATGTCAAAAGGACATAGCCAGTTTTATTTATGTATTTAGGGGTGTGTATGTAAAAAATAACAAAGAAGAAGAGGCCATGTTTTCAAGAGGGAGCAGGGTGTATGTGTTGTGGCACATGGGAAGGATTAGGAGGAGAGGCAGGGTAAATGATATGGTTACGTTTTAATTAAACCTTTCAAAGAATATCCAGTCTCATGCCTGGACTTTCTTTGGTGCCTCTAATAATCCATTGAATGTGTCTGTAAACTGAAAAAAATCACAGGCCAGACCCAGGTCTATATGATTACCTTGTTATTTGTGGGATAACTAGAGATTTATGAAACTAAAATGTGCAGAAACAGGCCCTATTTCTAATACCATATCTCATTATACTTATTAAGTATAATTGTGTTTGTATTTACTTTTATATGAAATCTTAAACAGATAGTTATATTTTTTGAGATTTTATTTATTTTGATTTCACGTTTATAAAAGTTGGGCTGAATGTATATCTGCACATCACATGCATGTAGTACCCATAGATTCCAGAAGAGGACATCAGCTCCCCTGGGACTGGAGTTACATACAGTTGTAAGCTGCACTGTGGGTACTGGGTATTGAACCTGGGACCTCTGGAAGAGGACCATCTCTCCAGCCTTGAACCAAGATAGTATAAACAACAACAGCAGAAAAAGGAAGAGAAGGAGTAGGAGGAAAAAGAAGGAGGAAGCAGAGGCAGGATTTAGTGTCCCTAAGCCCTGGTACTTTCATACAATGGAAAGTAAAAAATCTTTTAAACTAGATTGAATCTTTCTTTTTATTTTAATCTACTGCTGGTTACTAAAGGAGATTTTAAGGAGACTCAGTAGCACTACTTGGCTGAAGAAATGATGCCACTATAATCTTTAGAGCTATTCACCCCTATGCTCAAAGAGCTGAGATTTCTTTTTACTCCCCCTTTCTAGTAGTCCTAGCTATAGTTATCAGGTGACTACTCACATTAGCGATCTTATACTGCCCCCAATTCTAATGTCACTCCAAATCTCCTAGATTGGAATCTGTTGCAAATTAGGGTACCAGACCTGGATGCTGAGTTTCTTGGAACTGTGAGTAAATTAAATTGGTATCTGTCCTACTTCGCTTTTTATTGCTATGATAAACATTATGACCAAAAGCAACTTGGGAGGGGGGGGAAGGGGCTCTTAAAACTTACATCACTGAGGGAAGCCAGGGGAGAGACTCAAGGCAGGGACTTGGAAGCAGGAGCAGAAGCAGAGACCTAGGAAGAACACTGATGACTGGTTTTGCTCAGCTGGCTTTTTTATACAACCCAGGACCACCTGTCCAGTGATGCTACTGTTCCCAGCAGACTGAGAACTTCCACATCAATCATCAAGAAAATATGCCGCATTCCTACCTATAGGCCAACGTGAAGCAAATACTTTCCCAGATGATACAAGCCCCTGTCAAGTTGACAAAAATCTGACCAATGCAATATTGTTCCTCTTGAGCAGGGTTCTTGAATTCGGTGTGAATTCTATTGATAATGTTGTGGCTGAGTTCAAGATAGCTGATAGTGTCAGATACAGAAATCCCAGTTAAGTAAAGAATTGTATGTAAAATTCAGCATTTTTCTTTAAAAAAAAAAAACCTTTTTTCTCTTCATACGAAAGTTTCTTTTTTCTTTTCTTTTCTTTTCTTTTTTTTTAGATAAGGTCTCACTATTTAGCGCTGGAACCCATTGTGGTAGACTAAACTTGTCCCAAGGCATGGGCCACTAAGCATGTCTGAAAGATTTCTCTTCCTCCAAAGAGGACTCTTTCTTCCCTAAGCTTTTTTTTTTTCATGCTGTAGTGATATTGCCCTTTATTAAATACCAAGAGATCTAAAAGATATCTAGATTCTAACTCTGATCTTTGCAGTGATGTGGGAGAAATCACAGAATCACAGATAATCTGTGTTCTAATTTCTTTCATTGCAGATTGGGAAAGTGTCACACTCACTTGTGATAAAAAGAAATAGAGGCTCTTGAATAACTGTGTTAAATGTATTTAGCAAAAGTAAGAATTTATTTATTACAACACATTCAGTTCCTGGATCTGAAAGAGCAACTGGAAGTTGTGAAGATCCATTCAGCCCAAGTAGAAAAGGAGAGACTGATAACTCTTCTTGTATCATCCAGGAGCTGCACAATTTGAATGAGAAGCTAGAGAAGGAAAGGGAGGCCAGTTTAGCTTAACTAAAGATAACTAAGAAAAAAAAACAAGAAGAAGCAAGATGTTGGAAGCTTCATGGAGGCAGAGGAAATGACTCTGTACTTGGAGGTGATGCATGATGAGAGACACCCAGACTGCCTGCCTGAGCTGGAGGGTCACATAGAAAGAAGATGTGCAGCATGCACCGGAACTACTCAAGAGTGACTTGCAGCTACAAGTGGGTGACCCCCTGACCTGTGAGCACATGACTAGAGCTGAGCACTCCTTTTAGATTTTTGAATGTGGAAGTGAATGGAAAAGGGAAGGAAAAAAAAATCAGAGTGCTATCTTGAGATATTTCATATTGGAAGCTGTAACACTTGAGACTGTTTAGACCAAGCCGGACCTCAGTGGTCAGTATTAAGATCCTACCGTGCCACTTCAGTATGACTTGAAGATAGCTTCTGGTTTCAATAGAATTCTACTCAGTGCAGCTCACGAAGCCTTCTAGTTCTAGCATAACTGAGATGAAAAGTGAAACCAGTGGCAATGTCTTCCATGAAGAATGACTTTGTGTTGTGATCATTCCCTAGGGGTGGCCCAGATACTTATAAGACCTGTCTGAATGAATGATAGACACAAACAGCCTTGCTGAGAGAAGGGGACATTTTCTTCTTGTGTCCTCTGGCATCTTTTTAACCAGCCAACACAAGAAGAAAATTTTATGACATGCCCTGTAGCCGTCATCTGTTCCTTCAGTGACCCTATGCCCAGCAAACTCTCATGTCAATGGCTCATATCAGACCATGAATAGCAGCTAACTACTCATAGTTGAGAAGGGTTT